TAGAATACTCCTTCCGACGTTCTCATCAAAGTATGAAGATTGGCCCACATATCAGGATTTATTTATGGCTCTTGTCCACAACACATCCTTAAGTGATGTACAAAAGCTACATTATTTAAAGACTAGTGTCTCAGGTGAGAATTACACACAAAATTATAAAGAATTACACACAGGCATGGGAGTTACTTAAAGGGCGCTTTGGTAATAAGAGAATGAAAGTTACTTCCCTACTAAAAAGATTAACAGGTCAGAAGAAAATAGCTTACCAGTCAGCAAGTCAAATTAAATCATTTCTTGATACTACAAGTATACTTGTAGTATCAAGAAATGATTTAATTTGACTTGCTGACTGGTAAGCTATTTTCTTCCGAGTGCATCAATAGTATGAATAATTTGAATATATGTACCGACTCGTGGGATCCTATAATAATGTTTTTAATATCCCAAAAACTGGATACAGAATCATTAAAGGACTGGGAAGAATATTCACACAAAGTAAATTGTGATGAATTACCTACATGGGAAGAATTAAAAAAGTTTCTCGAATCAAAGTTCCGAACACTTGAATTAATTGCACCAGTCGCTACTACATCATGAGAAAGGCCTCATGTTCATAAGGTATTTCATATCGCAGCTGAACAGGAAGCAAACAATACATTTTTTATTGCACACGCTAACCGTCAAACACAATCTCCATGTTCCTATTGTAAAGATAGTCATTATATTTATAAATGTAAGGAATTTGCGACAACCAGTAGAACAAAGATTGGAATTTGTTAAAAAGAATAATTTATGTTTTAATTGTCTTATACCAAGTCACAGCGTATACAAATTTAAACAAAAAACAACGTGTCGAGTTTGCAACAGGAAACATCATTCTTTATTACACCAAGTACGAGAAACAACAGAGAGAGAAATAGAATCACAACCAGAACAAAAATTCACAACTGCACACTTCGTTAAAGAACAACTTCGTCATGAAGTATTATTAGCTACAGCTCAAGTAAAAGTTAAATCGAGTAATGGAGAAACACACATACTTCGAGCTTTAATTGACCAAGGTTCAGAAGCCTCATTTGTATCTGCCCGAGTAGTGGAGCTATTGGGCTTGAAAAAGAGGAAAATCAGCGGTGTAGTTTCAGGAGTAGGAGAAGGAACTCAGTTACCTATAAAACACTTAACTGAATTATTAGTTACGTCGCGATGGAATAGGTATCCGTCTATACATGTGAATGCTTACATTTTGAAAAATATATCCACCATCCTACCTTCGAAACAAGTTTCATTAAACTGGCCAGCACTCCAAACACTGCAATTGGCAGATCCTGCTTATCATACACCAGGCAGAATTGATATATTACTTGGAGCAGAAGTCTTTTGTAAAATTATCCAAGTTGGATTACTCAAAATGTCAGATGGTATAGTGGCTCAGAAAACGAGTTTGGGATGGATACTTTCGGGTCAGCACGAAGGTAAAATAAATAATGATCAACACAATGTAATCACATTTCATATCATTAGATAGGTTGCAGAAGACAATGATATGTTAAGAAAGTTCTGGGAAATAGAAACAGATGTGTACAACGAGAAGAAAATTCTACCAAAGAAATGTATGAAGCGATATACAAAAACACTACTAAAAGTGATTATAACGGAAGATATACAGTACATAAGAAAACAAACAGGAAACAATTCAGTTACGTGGAAATACAAAACAAAGAGCTGAAATAGATTCAAACATTTAGAGCACAAACTGAATAAGAATAAAAGATTAAAGACAGAATATACAAAAGTTATTCATGAGTATATAGAGAGTATAGCTAATGAGTCATATGAAAAGTGCCGAAACAGCAGAGTATATTTATCTCACCATGCTGTAATACAGAAGGATAAGGAAACTAGTCAGGTGCGAGTAGTATATGATGCATCTGCCAGTGGTTATAAAGGTCATTCCTTAAACAGCCTCATGATGGTTGGGCCTGTTTTACAACCTGACCTTCGCAGTTTAATAATAACATGGCGTACACATAAACTATGTGTTGTTGGTGATATTATGAAAATGTACAGAATGATTAATATGACTGAAGAACATACTAATTTGCAACGAATTCTTTGGCGAGATAATCCTGAGGAAGAATTAAAAGCTTACAATCTTACTACGGTAACTTTTGGCACAGCAGCAGCTCCGTATTTAGCTGTACGAACATTAAATCAACTAGCTGATGATGAATCACAACTATCCAGAGACAGCAAGGATAATAAAAAACGCATTTTATATATCTATATAAAATGCGTTTTTTATTATCCTTGCTGCAAGAAAAAACGAAGAAAACATGTATGGAACTTAGAAGAATTTTAAAGAAAGGTGGTTTTATTATGCAAAAATGGTCGAGTAATTCAGATGAAGTTTTGAAATACTTACAACAAGACAACAATGCAAGAGACACAATAGGGATAAAGTTAGATAAAGTAATAAAAATTTTGGGATTAAAATGGGATAGAAAAGAAGACACATTTGAAATTACAGTAAATTTACCAGAAATGCTTTATCCTATAACGAAGAGATCCATTCTTTCCGATGTCGCCCGTTTATTTGATCTATTTGGATGGCTAGCACCAGTTATTATAAAAGCAAAATTCTTATTCAAAAATTGTGGTTATGTAGCTTAGGATGGGATGATGAACTACCTTCTGACTTATGCGCAGAATGGACAACTTACAGAGAGAAACTAATACATTTGCAAAACATTAAAGTACCACGTTGGTTGAGAACTACATCAACTAACCGCATGAAAATACAACTACATGGCTTTGCAGATGCATCAACTCACGCATATGCCACAGTAATTTACCTTCGAGTCGTAGAGGGTGACGAGAGATATGTGACGATGATTGCATCCCGTACTAAAGTTGCTCCATTGAAACAAATTTCAGTTCCTAAATTAGAACTTTGTGCTGCAGTATTATTAACAGAACTAATCAATGAAGTAGTAAAACTGTTACAAATTTCAAAAAGTAATATTTTTGCTTGGACAGACTCTATGGTCGTTCTGTCCTGGTTACAATCACAACCAAGTCGTTGGCGAACATTTGTTGCAAACAGAGTTGGAGAGATAACACGAGTGCTAGATAATAATCAGTGGAGACATGTTCAGTCAGCTGATAACCCGGCGGACATTGCTACAAGAGGGATTAATGCAACAGATCTAGCAACTTTAAAAACGTGGTGGACAGGACCGGAATGGTTAAACAAGAAACAGATTGATTATGGCAGGTATGACATTCCACAGACAGATCTAGAAGTTAAAAATTCATTACATGCTAGATATATACTAGATAAGAACCGATTTGGGAAAGATTTTCAACAATGCTAAGAATGAAAAGAGTATTAGCATATTGTCGTAGATTCTTGAGAAGAAATGATTCACAATTATATCTATCTAGCTATCTTACATCTAAGGAATTGGAAAGAATATTAGAAGAATGTATAAAATACTATCAAAATTTATTTTATGGAAGAGAAATTATAGAATTACAGAAAGAAGGAAAAGTAAAGAAACGAAGTTCCCTATAACACTTTCTCCATTTTTAGATGAAAAAGGATTAATAAGAGTGGGAGGACGTTTACAAAATGCTTCTTTACCTGATATGACAAAGCATCCGATAATTATACCAGGTAATCAACATATTACTAAATTGTTAATCCAAGAAGCACATATAAAAACATTTCATGGCGGTATTCAGTTAATGATGGCTTATGTGAGAACTAGATACTGGATAATTGGCTTAAAATCAGCTGTCAGAAAATGCATCCATAATTGTAAAACATGTATTGTGAATAAGGCAAAAATAAAAACACAATTTATGGGTCAGTTGCCTGCAGTAAGAGTCAATCAACACCGACCATTTATAAATAGTGGTGTGGATTACGCTGGGCCTGTACTTATAAAAACATCTAAAGGCCGTGGATATCATGCAGTTAAGGGCTATATTTGCTTATTCGTGTGCATGGCAACTCGTGCTATTCATCTCGAAGCAGTCACAGACCTTACTTCACAAGCATTCATAGCTGCATTCCGAAGATTTGTGGCGCGCAGAGGACATTGTTTACATATATGGAGTGACAATGGCACCAATTTTGTGGGTGCTGACAAGAAATTGAAGGAGTTACTAAGAGGAACCAAAATCAAAACACTTGGAGAGGTAATGAAACTATTAAGTAATGAAGGAACAACTTGGCACTTCATTCCACCTAGAATGCCAACATGCGGAGGATTATGGGAATCGGGAGTCCAGACGGTTAAGAGGCATCTAAACAGAGTTAATAAAGATGTTAAGCTTACATATGAAGAATTGTCGACTTTGCTAACTCAGATTGAGGCGTGTCTCAACTCTCGGCCTCTTTGTCAAATAGACAATAACACAGAAAGCCCACTTATTCCAGGTCATTTCTTAATTGGTGAGCCTCTAATCAGTGTACCAGATATAAATTATGAGCAAAGAAAGATTAATATTTTAACCAGATGGCAACTTATTCAAAAGATGACTCAAGATTTCTGGCGCAAGTGGCAAACAGAATATCTTAATACTTTGCAACAACAAATGGCAAGTCGCAGTGCCATCACCTGCTATTGGAGATATTGTAATTGTTAAAGATGAAGATTTGCCTCCTACAAAATGGCTTTTAGGAAAAATAAAATATCTACATCCTGGCACAGATAATTTAGTACGAGTGGTGACAATACAGTGCAAGGGAAGTCATGAAATGAAAAGGCCATTATCAAAACTAGTAACTGCCCTCGCGGGAAGCGGCAATGATGCCGCCGACCGGGAACAAGGCGGGGGGGTAAGGGGAGCACAACCCGGCGCGCCGCGGCCGCCCCAGATGCATATTCCACGTGCAGCTGGACCCCATGGCGAAAGAGGAGCTCGCTCGGCTATATGCTGTCCATAATTGTAAAACATGTATTGTGAATAAGGCAAAAATAAAAACACAATTTATGGGTCAGTTGCCTGCAGTAAGAGTCAATCAACACCGACCATTTATAAATAGTGGTGTGGATTACGCTGGGCCTGTACTTATAAAAACATCTAAAGGCCGTGGATATCATGCAGTTAAGGGCTATATTTGCTTATTCGTGTGCATGGCAACTCGTGCTATTCATCTCGAAGCAGTCACAGACCTTACTTCACAAGCATTCATAGCTGCATTCCGAAGATTTGTGGCGCGCAGAGGACATTGTTTACATATATGGAGTGACAATGGCACCAATTTTGTGGGTGCTGACAAGAAATTGAAGGAGTTACTAAGAGGAACCAAAATCAAAACACTTGGAGAGGTAATGAAACTATTAAGTAATGAAGGAACAACTTGGCACTTCATTCCACCTAGAATGCCAACATGCGGAGGATTATGGGAATCGGGAGTCCAGACGGTTAAGAGGCATCTAAACAGAGTTAATAAAGATGTTAAGCTTACATATGAAGAATTGTCGACTTTGCTAACTCAGATTGAGGCGTGTCTCAACTCTCGGCCTCTTTGTCAAATAGACAATAACACAGAAAGCCCACTTATTCCAGGTCATTTCTTAATTGGTGAGCCTCTAATCAGTGTACCAGATATAAATTATGAGCAAAGAAAGATTAATATTTTAACCAGATGGCAACTTATTTAAAAGATGACTCAAGATTTCTGGCGCAAGTGGCAAACAGAATATCTTAATACTTTGCAACAACAAATGGCAAGTCGCAGTGCCATCACCTGCTATTGGAGATATTGTAATTGTTAAAGATGAAGATTTGCCTCCTACAAAATGGCTTTTAGGAAAAATAAAATATCTACATCCTGGCACAGATAATTTAGTACGAGTGGTGACAATACAGTGCAAGGGAAGTCATGAAATGAAAAGGCCATTATCAAAACTAGTAACTGCCCTCGCGGGAAGCGGCAATGATGCCGCCGACCGGGAACAAGGCGGGGGGTAAGGGGAGCACAACCCGGCGCGCCGCGGCCGCCCCAGATGCATATTCCACGTGCAGCTGGACCCCATGGCGAAAGAGGAGCTCGCTCGGCTATATGCTGTCACAGAGCTCCTCTGCATGCGAGGTGTGGTCACCGAGGCGTGGAAGCCGGCATCGGTGTTCGCGCAATGCCACCGATGCCAGGCGTTCGGGGACGCCTCGACAAACTGCCACCACCCACTCAAATGCGTCCGCTGCGCGGGTGACCACCTGGCAGCGGACTGCGAACGCCCGCGGGACCTTCAGGATGAACAGAAAACATTGGGAATGTTATGGGATTCAATGAACGACATGCTGAAATTCAATACTTCAATGAAGAGTCCCTAGAGAAGTATACGATATGACTCGTGCACCGACCAAGCGAGAAACTCTAAGCACAGTCATGAGTATCTACGATCCGCTGGGATTACTCAGCTGCTACACGACTACCGCGAAAATGCTACTCCAAGACCTGTGGCGACAGAAGCTGGGATGGGATGAACCGCTACCGTCAGAAGCCTCTGAAAACTTCGCTAAGTGGTTAAGGAATCTTGAACATATTAGCCGCCTCGAACTACCGCGAAGCTACAACGGGGAGTCCAGTAAAAGCCGACAACTGCACATCTGCGATGCCAGCAAGGACGCCTAGGCCGCAGCAGCTTATTGAGGCTAGAACAAGAGAACTGTAGAGGACAGCGTGGAATAACATAAACCTGGGATTTTATTCACCGGCCATAACATTGTGTGGTCCTTCGAGTAGCCGGATCTACGGAAGAAAAAATGGTCGTTACAAGAAGTCAAGCTGGGAACGAAGAAACGGGAAGGGTATATACGGAGCCCCCGCGCTCTCCGTCGGCAGCAGCGTCGTCGAGCCAGCATCCTGCACACGGCGGGATACATACCGAACGAGGGACACGCGCCGCTGAACAAACCGACCGAGAGGCCCGAGCTACAGTTGCCGATCGTGCCGCGAACTGGACGGACGCGACCGCAGCCAGTACATGGGAAGCGCCAGTACCTGAAGCCCGAGAAACCGTACAGAATGTACCAGATCCAGTGTACACTACTCCACGAAAGGCGATTTCTATACGAACGCGCCGCTCCACTGCAAGCGTTATTGCTCGCATGCAGTATGAAGCTGAAGAAAAACTAGCAGCCATACGAAGACGGGAACTGCAGATAGATGCGGAACTAATTAAAAAGAAGCTCGCTGCAGACATGGCCGCGCTAGAAGAGGACAGTAATGCTGAAGAAGAGGAGCCACCAGAACAAGTGAAGCAACGCGTCACTGCCTGGCTGAATGAGAGTGGCCCCGACCAGGAAGCAGCACGGGGGGAGTCAACTGCACCCTACCCTCCGCAGATCACCACCACTGCAACGATGGAATCAAAACCAGTAGATACGCCGCACAGAAGACGAACGACAGAAGGCTATAAAACGCGTGTCGGATGGGAGACACCACACAGAGAAAAATCTCATACTCCAGCAACATCACGTGGCCGAGGGGTAGAACAATTAGCGGAGGTGTTAGAAAAAATGATGACCCGCCGCCCGCCGCCTCGTCAAGCCTCCGAACTACCGATATTCACCGGCGCACCGACCGACTGGTTACAATTCAAGACGGCAATGGAAGATACAACTGCCATGTATAACTTCACGCCGATGGAAAACTTAGCTCGCCTTCGTAACTGCCTACGCGGGGAAGCTAAAAAAGCAGTTGCACCATTACTAGGTGTCGCAACACCGCCTGATCAAATAATGAAGACATTAGAACAATGTTTCGGACGACCGGAAGTCATCATAGACCGACTGATGGAAGATATGAAAAAACTACCGAGACTCAGCGGAACAGCCGTCGAATTAAATACATTCGCCGTTAAAATTCAGAACGCTGTAGCTATCCTGAGAAGATTAAAGCAAGGATATCTTCACAATCCATTGCTTATCAGAGACATACTGGAGAAGCTCAGCCCTCATCAGAAGTCCAGGTGGTACGACTACGCAGTAGAGGCTTCAGAAACAAGTAGCAAGCCAGAAATAATTATGCTGTCGGAATTTCTGATGAGAGAAGCTGATAGAGCCTTGAAGCACGGGTTCTATACAGTGAAGAAAGAAGTACCTCGACCTGTTGTTAAAACCACAGAATTCAGAACTAAGAAGCCGGTTTTTGCAATCAACACCGAGGAAAACGAAGAGGAAATTATGAAATGCTCCGCCTGTGGACAAGGACACAACTTACCCAAGTGTTTTAAGTTCCTCAATCAGAACATACAAGAAAGATGGAACACGGCGAAGAACGCTAAGCTATGTTTCAAATGTTTATCCCGAAGACATAGAAGAATGAACTGTCGAGCGAAGAGCTGCGGAAGCAACGGCTGCAAGCGACCGCATCATGCGCTACTTCACCAGGAAACGGTTGCATCATCCGTAACAACCGTCTCAGAAACCGAAGACACCGTGGCAACAGCATCTATTGCCCACGGACGAGAAATAAAATTGAAAAAACGACCTGTAACAATAAGAGGACCAAAAGGAGAAACGAAGATCTATGCATTATTCGATGAAGGTTCAACAGTCACGCTGCTGGATAACGAAATAGCAGAAGCGATTGGAGCCGACGGACCCTCTAAGGCATTATTAATGCATGGAGTAAATTCAGAACATAAAGAAATGAACAGCCGAACAATAAAGTTGAACATTCGCAGTCAAGACGGAAAGGAACACGTCATGACAGCTAGAACATTGACCGGCATGAATTTATTAAGTCAGTCAATACCTGAAAAGCTATTGGACTTAGAACATCTTCAAGATCTCAAACAAGAAGACTTGTGCTATGAGAATAAGAAACCACAACTTCTCATAGGCACCGACAACTGGCAACTGATCGTGTCCAGAGAACTAAGAATGGGAAAGAAAAATCAACCAGCTGCCTCTAAAACACAGCTCGGCTGGGTGATCCATGGAAGCGTTCCGAAAAAGATTATAAAGCAAGATTGCGAGAACATCCTTCACGTAGTGAACGTCATCTCACAAGGCGATCACTTAGAAGAAATGATAAAGAAACACTTCGAAATCGACGCACTAGGAATAGCGACAGAGAAGAAGTTGAATAAACAAGATCAACGTGCCGTTGACATCTTCGAGAGAACAGCGAAACGAAGAGACGGACACTACGAGGTCGGACTCCTATGGTGCATAGACGACATCGAGTTACCTGTAAATTATAACAACGCTCTCAGAAGACTGAAAAATCTAGAGCACAAATTGAACAGATCAGTTGAAGAGAAACAACAATACGAAGAACAAATAAAGAACTTGCTGAATAAGAAATACGCTGTAAAGTGTGACGGATCGGAAACAGGCAGCAAAGTGCAATGGTACTTACCACACTTTCCCGTTAGAAATCCAAACAAGCCGGGAAAGGTGCGACTGGTATTCGACGCTGCAGCTAAAACCCACGGAGTATACCTGAACGATTTCTTACTAGAAGGCCCTGATCTGTTGATATCGCTGATGAGAATACTCTTTCGATTCCGTGAAGAAGCCGTCGCCGTAAAAGCCGACGTGGAAGAAATGTTTCTTCAAATAAAAATAAGAAAAGAAGACCAACCTGCGCAAATGTTCCTGTGGAGGGAAGATGAAAATCAACCGCCCACAACATATAAGATGGCTGCGATGATTTTCGGCGCTACGAGTTCACCGTTTCTGGCGCACGCTGTCAGAAATAAGAACGCACAAGAATACAATGAAATGCATCCTGAAGCTTTTCGTGCAATAACGGAAGCCCACTACATGGACGATTATGTGGATAGTTACACCACAAAAGAAGACGCTGAAAGAATGATAAGTCAAGTGGACAACGTGCACAAGAAGGCAGGCTTCAGATTGAGAGGATGGACGAGCAACAATATTAACATTATGAAGAATATACCGAAAGATCGGCATGCGAAAAACACAACGCAAGCGATCACCAAAGATGAACAGAAGACATTGGGAATGTTATGGGATTCAGTGAACGATGTGCTAAAATTCAATACGTCACTGAATAGAGTTCCCAGAGAAGTATACAATATGACTCGTGCACCGGCCACGCGAGAAACTCTAAGCACAGTCATGAGTATATACGATCCGCTGGGATTACTCAGTTGCTACACAATCACCGCGAAAATGCTACTCCAAGACCTGTGGCGACAGAAACTGGGCTGGGATGAACCGCTACCGTCAGAAGCCTCTGAAAACTTCGCCAAGTGGTTAATGAACCTCGAACATATTAGCCGCCTCGAACTACCGCGAAGTTACAACGGGGGGAGTCCAGTGAGAAGTCGACAGCTGCACATCTTCTGCGATGCCAGCAAGGACGCCTACGCCGCAGCAGCTTATTGGAGGCTGGAACAAGAAAACGGAGACATTAATACTATTTTAGCAGCAGCGAAGGCTAAAGTAGCTCCGTTGAAAAGCCAGACGATCCCGCAACTGGAATTGCAAGCCGCACTGATCGGTGCGAGGCTAGGAAGCAATATTGTGAAAGATCATCGATGGATAGCCGACGCTGTTTTCTTCTGGACTGACGCTCAAGTGGTTCTACAGTGGATTCAGAACGGGAATCTGCGATATACACCCTATGTATCGCATCGACTGGGAGAGATCGCCGAATTGACGTCAGTACACCAGTGGAAATGGATAACAAGCAAACAGAACGTCGCCGACATAGCAACCAGACCAGGATACGTGCCGAGGAACCCCGAAGACCCATGGTTCCGCGGTCCGGAATTCCTATCGAGACCAATAAACGAATGGCCTCAACAACACTCGATCAACGAAGAACAAGATGACGAGCAGATCATCCTACACGCAGTAGAAGACGACTGCATGTTAGATTGCTTACCTGATGTAAAACGCTTCTCTAACTACGAGCGTCTTATCAGGGCGACAGCAATAGCGCTACTGTTCCCGGAGAAGTGCCGGAATCGACGGGCTACTCTAGACGTCGACCACTTAAGAAGGGCAGAATTTTTATGGCACCAGAAGGCACAGAATGACAGCTTCCACGCCGAAATAGAGTTGATGAAGACGGGGAAGACACTTCCTAGAACAAGTCCACTATACCGACTTCATCCAATTTACAAAGAAAAGTTATTACGGCTAGATGGAAGAATTGTAGCTGCACAAGTGTCCGCGGATATGAAGAATCCCATCGTATTGGACGGTCGCCATCCCTTCACCAGACCTTATTGATAATGAAGGAGCACAGGAAAGCGGGACACGGAAGCCGAGAGAGAGTGGTGAATGAACCTGCGTCAAAGATATTGGATCCTGAAGCTAAGACCGACAGTCAGAAGTTTAACGAAGGATTGCGCCTTTTGTCACGTGAGAAGAGCTAATCCTAAGAAGCCGCCTGTGGGAAACTTACCCGAAGAACGACTGGGAGCCTTCCACAGACCCTTTTCTCATTGCGGGCTGGATTATTTCGGTCCCATGACGGTGACGATCGGTAGACGTCATGAGAAGAGATGGGGAGCTTTATTCACGTGCCTGACAACACGAGCGGTTCACCTAGAGCTTGTAGCATCCTTATCTACGGATTCCGCAATCATGGCAATAAGAAGAATGGCAGCTCGACGCGGATGGCCCATAACGATGTACAGCGATAATGGGACGAACTTCAAAGGAGCAGATGCTGAGCTCCGACAGGCCTACGCGGATTGGACTCCAGCCATGCAGGAATTAGGACTCCATTATCGGATGCAGTGGAAGTACATCCCTCCTGGAGCTCCCAGCCAAGGTGGAGCATGGGAGAGAATGGTGCGGTCAGTAAAAACCGCTTTGAACGAGAAGGCACCGAAAGAGGAGGTGCTTCAGACCGTCATGACAGAGGCGGAATATTCCATTAACGCAAGACCTCTCACACACGTATCGGTGGATCCTGACGACCCTAAAGCGTTAACCCCTAACCACTTTTTGATCGGGTCATCAACAGGCCAGCCGTACGTGGGACCCTGCGAATTGGCGGACAGACGAACCTGGAGAGCAGCTCAAGCCCTAGCAGACGAATTCTGGAGAAGGTGGCTCCACGAATATCTGCCGACGCTCGTGCCACGACGAGGAACTACACAGAACCCTCTAGTGATCGCTGAAGGGGACGTGGTCATCGTGGTCGACTCGTCGTTGCCTCGCAACACATGGCCGCGAGGGACAATTGAACGCGTGTATCCGGGCCCAGATAGTCAGGTTCGCAGTGCGGACGTCCGAACACGGAGCGGAGTGTTCCGGCGGCCAACTTCCAAGCTAGCGGTGCTGCAGGAAGTGATCCAGAATTCAAAACTAACCTCGCTGTCACCGAAAAAGGCTACGTCGTCACTACGCCGGGGGGAGAATGTAGAGGACAGCGTGTAATAACATAGAAAAACGAATAATAATATGAAAAGGACAGCGTTTAGTTATGTAAACTATGAGCTATACGTTGATATGATTATAACAAAATAGATATAAGTAATATAAATGTTATAGTTTTCGTTTTCCACTCGTGTTAAATGTGGAAACCGACGCAAGTCAGAAATGATTTGTCTTATATTTATGTGAAATACTATTGTGATACTTGTATATATGTACTTTCTAGATAAGAAATTATGTAAAGTTCATGTATGAATAACAAAAATGTTAACGGACTCGTTAACTTCCTTTAATATGTAGAAGTCCGTTAATCGTTAATACCATACCTACTATTTATCGCACGGCACCGCGGTGCGATAAATATGCGCGAAAAACAGATTCAAACAAGTATGAAATGACAAGTATCGGGCGGAGCGAGGCACAACGCAGTCGGTAGGATACTCGAGACGTATCGAGAATAGAAATAGGGTATATCTCACATCGATTACCGTGTCGTCTATGATCGCTATCGTCGTCGCGAGCTATTCGCGTCCACGAGTATCCAGAAAGAAGAACCTGAAGTTTCCTGGCTGGAAGAGAAATCGAGACATCGATCCTAGAACTACCAATATGCAGCGCATGAAAGTACACTATACATTTTTACTGTAAAGTTGCTCTCAATGTGTGAAGTTTAGTGAATAGTTATATAGTTCAGTTGCAAACATTTTCCACCCTAAGAAAATCAACCCTAGAGAGCCTGCGCGCGATAGACTATCCCGTAGGCTCAATTTAGATAGATAAATGTATAAAATAATAATAATAATAATTTAGATAAATGTAAAAAACATAACACTATAGCACCATAGGTTAAGATGGGAAAATAAATAATACACATTACTGTAGTTTTACTTCCCCTAAATTACAGTAAAAATAAATAGGTTAGGTAGTAAATTAGAAACAGAACTGTAAACAAACCAAGAATGGCATGGGAAATAGGTCCCAAAGTCAGGCCATAAATCCCTTCAGACGGGAAATAGGACATAGATAGGACATAAGTGAACCATTCTCTGAACTGAACTGAACCACTCTATATGAGAGGCCTGATTAAGACCTTTGAATTTGTTGCTTTTGGAAGTTTCTTGCATTCAATCATGGCATTGGCTGGTTATGGTCAAGCTCTTCCCAGCACATCGGCTCCTGTTCAAGGGGAGGAAAGAAATGTTGATATACATAACATATCAGGGGCGGTCGAGGAAGCTGTTCTCAATATGGGACGTCAAGCTGAATAAAATAGGTTCCTAGCTCCGGAAATCAACTTCCGCTGGAGTAAAACCTGAGACTATAGAGATTGTTTTATCAGAAATTGCAAGTGAAAGTGAGGAACAAAGCGGCCATAGGCGCCATCCTTGGTCATTCTGGTTTTTCTAGGAAACATTTAGCAGTAAAAACCTCGAAGAGCAGACCAGGGCTTGTAGGATACAGACAAGTTCCCTATAAACCTACGAGGCTGATGTATGTTGTGTCAATCTCAACTCAATACGCCCAAATAGCTGTCGCTTCTAGGTTAGTAAACTTCATATCTACTAGAGGGAAAAGTGGTGGTAGATATGGAGAAAGGATCGATCCGTCTCATTGTTCGACTGGGAGCAGTTCAACAACAGGGGTGCGAATATTTGACAATTATGATAGCATTGCCGCTAGTGGAAATCCACGTTTGCTGACAATTGGGACTGATCTTAGTTCATACGATACGAACTTGCGTTATTGGAACTTTCGTAAGGCGTTCATATCCGCCTTGAAAAAATTAAATTCAAACAAAACCTTCGGTCCGGAGGCTATCCCCGGACCAGATGATTAGTTTATGATGTTTGACTAATGCTTATGGCGAAGGACGTGTCTATAAATCATATTGGGACAATGGTAGGACTCCTATCATTATTATTGATGAACGTGTTAAGGACGCTGACATAGCTTTACAGTATAATAGGTATATTACAAGTATGAAAGTTGATGCGGACATCGACACGATAAAACCGCTCTCTGGAGCACGCTTTTTGACTCCGGGAGTTTACAGGAAATTCGACATAGATTCATGTCTTGAAGAAAAAATACTGATACCTTGGAATATCCTGCGCATTGCCGCTGTACGTGATGGCAGTGATTTAACTTTTTTAACTAGCGAAGCCTCCGGAGAATTAACTACTCTGGCTGCGAATACTATTGTCAATCTTACGATGCAAAAGAAAGCTATAGCGTGGCTACATAAATCATCAATGGGAAAATATCTAGAGGTAAAATATATGAAAGGCGTCGGTGATGACGCTGAATGGATATGTACCCTAACGAGAGTACCCAAATGAATCGAAATTGACGACATGTTGGAAGGGCTGGCAAAATTATACTCTGAGATGGGACACACTTTTTCGCCAGCTAAAACGTTGCTTTTTCGCCAGCTGAGTACGTTCAGACGTTCTCGCGATATGGTCTCTATATACCACGAGATCAGATAATGATAGTGAGCAGTGAGAAGCCAAGGAGCATTAGAGACCCTAAAGAATTCACAGAATCGTTTAAGCAAGTATTGCTAGCGAAGTGTGCCAGAGGGTTCAATGTTGACTACGCGAATACTTTATTTCTACGGCACGCGCGAGAGATCGGACGAATGACCTTGAAGCGTTAAATTCCACAAATTTCCGACACTAGATCAGGAATTGTTAAGCTTATAGCTAGCGGAGAGAAGACGTGCTCAATTACTGTTTCAAAACAGACGTACAAACGTGCGAGCGAAAAATTCTATGATAAAGAAATACCCCTGCGACATTTTTATTATTCTGTCGCGCGATTCATGCTCCCAACTCCGGCTGGCGGACATGGGTGGAATCCCTTGATGATTAATATTGTGAATACTCCAGCGATGTTCTTACGTTTCATCGCAGCATATCCCGATAACTTCAAAACAAACATGTATCGGATCCTAGTTTTTTCCCCGTCTTCCGGTGGATAAGGGAGTCCAAAGTGGAAATGATAATGTTTTAGGTCGCATCTCTTTACCACCCGACCTACAGAGTATAACCGCTGCGGAGATGTTTTCACCAGCTGTTCAACATAATTTGCAGGCTCTTAAAGGAATTAGTATCGGCTATTCAGACGAAGATAAAATACCGAAACGAATTCTGCGTGCTGGATTAGAGCTAGAGTTTTATAACTAATTTCGAACTAATTTCTTCAACTGGCAACCATCTATAAGAGATGTCATTATTGTCATCTGTCAAAGTGTGTTGTCGATTGTGCGTGGTGTATTTCTTAACCAACTTAACTTTAACGCTGAAGCGTTAAAATGCCAAAAACGATTAAAAGCCAGTTAAGAAAAGTTATTTATAATATAAATAATTACTTGTCAGAAAGAAGGTCTGAAGGAATTGACTCTATTCCTCTAAACAACATCACGGACCTTGTTGTCAACATGACTGGTAGGTACCTCATATACTACATCCAATATGAATTGGTTAATTTGTGACTAATTTTTAATTTAAAAGTAAATCTGTGGCTAAAGGCAAAAGATATGTCATTGTCCATTGTGGTGGCAAGACTGGGTTCGTCCCTAATGCTTTATTAATTTATAATGACAAAGAAAAAAAAAGATTTCCATGACGCCATGAATACAGTTAATTTTAAGAAATGGGTATTGGATAAATTAATACCCAATTTGCATGAACCTACCTGTATAGTCATGGACAACGCTAGATATCATTCTAGCCAAATCAACAAGCCACCGAGCATGATAAATAGAAAAAAAGATATTACAGACTGGCTTTCATCAAATAATATTGCCTACCCTACCAATGGTACCAAAAGTATGCTAATGGTTATAGTAAAACAAAATAAACCTGACCCAATATATGAAATAGATCATTTAGTACAGGATTATGGTCACAAAATAGTAAGACTGCCTCCTTATCATTGTGACCTCAATCCTATTGAGATGATATGGGGCATAGTAAAAGGGAAGGTTGCCACAAAGAATGTTGGTTTAGACAATATCACATTCATGCAGCTTGTAAAAAACGGTTTTGAGGTAAATATCACATTTTATCTGATATAAAATTAAATATTTTGTTTAGATACAGTTACTGACTTATTAATTGTTTTTCTAGGATATAACTGCCGATACATGGAATAATTGTTGTGAGCATACAAAGAAAATAGAAGAAGATTATAGACAAAGGGGACCAGTAATCGACAGAGAAATTGAAAAATTTATTATAAATGTTGGTGACGATAGCGAAACATCCAGTGATACAAGTAGCAATGAATCTGTTATATCTGAAATTGAAACACAACAATCAGACAATGAAGATCATGAAACATATGAATCTGTTGAATATTTGGATTCTGACTTTGAAGACTTATGCTATTAAAATATTAAATAAAGCTAATACTGAAATAATAAAGTTGTACTTTTTTAAACTGCCTAATTAGAATCAGAATCAGAATCAGAATGCCTATAGTTTACTTTTAAGGAAGTTTATTTTAAAATTATATTTAAAGTACATACTTTAAAAAAAAACTTGTAGTAGGAACAACCTTTAAAAAGTAAATTTTAACTGTCCTTCCTGAGTCGTTAGAAAAGAAAGAAATAAACCTAGATTGTATTGTAGTGATTAAAAAAAAATTTAAACGTCGATTCTTCTTCTAGCCGCGAATTAAAATAAATAGTAGGTAAACTAACTTTCTGTGATAGTTTATATTAAATTAAACACTAGCTAAAAAAAGTACACTTGCCAATTCGCAATAGTATGACTATAGTAGATGTTGCCATAATCATAGTTAATATAACGCCCTCAGAGCAGGTTTTTTATTTTTTTGGTCAGGCTTTATAACTAGTACTTTTGAGAACTAGTTCTCAAATAGCTCAGAGCATGTCTAAGGTGTTGTAGAGGTGTTGTAGAAATTGTTTTATCAGGAAAGTAATTGCAAGTGAAAGTGAGGAAGAAAGCGGCCATAGGCGTCATCCTTGGTCGTTCTGGTTTTTCTAGGAAACGTTTAGCAACAAAAACTTTGAAGAGCAGACCAGGGCTTGTAGGATACAGACAAGTTCCCTATAAACCTACAAGGCTGATATGTACCACGAACGAAATAAATCAAACTGGGATCAAATCATACCCTTTGCTGGTATGTGCCATAATACATTGGTTAATCAATCAACCAGTCTCATATGAAAGTAAAGGCTAAAGAACGTTATGACGATAACATAAGGAATATAGCCAAGTTCGATGTAGACGACAAAGTTATGTTGAAAGTACCAAATCCAAACAATTTAGACCTTAAATGGGAAGGACCCTTTGCAGTTATACGAGTTGGTTTTAACCATAACTATTTAATTAAGAAATCGAATCGCAACCAATTAGTGTACGCAAATAGGTAACAACCGTAAGGTGATGGTATGTTGAATTTGAGAGGTCGAGTTTCTTTACATGTCAAATTTCGTGAAGGGCGGCCTTCAACTGCCGTCAACGAAAATAATGTGGGTACAGTTAAGCGGCTAATTGAAGTTTCCTTCAATTAGCCGCTTAACTGTATTCTGTATTCTGTACCCGCGGATTACCTATGATTCGAGGACTATTGGGGATTGGTGTGAGCCAAAAGTACAATCACGGACATTCTAATGATGTTTATGACAATGTCACAGGAGACGAAACGTGGATTTATTGTTTTGAACCCGAAAAAAACAGCAGTCTTGTGAATGGCAGTGATAGCGTTCAATCGGCACGTAGAAAACATGCCTTCAGATCTGTGGTCCTCCTGTTTTAAAAAATGGTTCGATCGCATGAAAAAATGTTTAAAATGTAAAGGAGAGTATTTTGAAAAGCAATAATATTTGGGTTATAACATATTGTTTTTTTTTTTAAGTTACACAACACTTATAGTGCGACCTACGTAATCCCCTTCATCATTAAGTTTTTCATGATAGTGCCTAAATGTTTTGTATAATTTCTTAACGACTCTTTATTCAGTGGAAGGTTATATAAACTCATTAAAAAAAAAAAACAATAGTACAGGATTGTAACCAAAAAAGTTGTTAAAAATATATGACCTCAAATAGCTCCAATATTAAGTCACATTGTTAATTTGATTTGTGTAGAGACAGGAAGTTTCGCCGAATAATTAAAAATAACCATTATAAATCCGATTTTTAAAAAAGAGGACAATGAAAATTTCTAGTGTCACAGGCCCATTGCTTACACCCCACCCGCACCACACTAAACACACAAAAGCAGCCGTCGACAGAGCATTGAATATGTTAGTATGCCTGTTGAAGTAGCTGCTAACACCGCTCGCAAGTCGCACAGATATTAAGGCGGCGGCGACAAACGGATTGACCAAATTATTTCAGTATATAAATGCCGCATAACACCCTACCCATTGACGCATAAGCCCCGGGAGCATCATGAACAAAGTCCAAGACCTCCCTCTTCTAGCTCAAACCTAGGACGTAGACCTAATGGGTGAAACGAAGCACAAAAGTAGAAAGGAGACGCTGAGGATGCCTAACTACCATGAATACAGGCAAAACGAGCTGTCGTCGGCTGACAATGCGTACCGCAGTACAGCTGTACTAGGCGGCAGCAACATAGTCCACGTGGAGTTAGTAGCCCCGAGTTCCGCGTGGTTCATGGCAATAAAAATGTACCATAATCAAGTACGCTACGAACTAAGGTATTGTAAATAAATTTGAGAGATAATGGATAGGTACTCCATTAAACTACTGACAGACATCTAAGAATGTTAAGTATTTTTTCAGATTTTGCAACAATTCGCACTGTGAGACCAGTTCATCTAGAGTCTAGATTTATACCTAAATATTTTACTTGGGACTTTTTTTACTGATATTATTTGTTATAATACAGTACTTTGACTACGAGCCCTTCCCAACCTCAGCTTACTCAGTATTGTTTTAGATACTTCAAGTTATAAACGAAAAGATAAACAGTTACGACATAGAATTGTCATCGTTTTCAAAAAGCACGTTATATAAAATATTGAAACACCTTCATTTCAAGTACATGAAAATAAAACGCCGCAGTACATTAATAGACCAAGAGGACATTATTTTATGGCGTCATTGATACCTACAAAAAAATAAATACTAAATGGAAGGTCGCTTCAACACTACTAAGCTCTTCTTTTTAGAAAGCCTTACAAGGGGCCTAAAAGGGTCATCTGGCAAAGGAAGACGAGTAGTAACGTCCCATCTTGAAAGTGAAGACGGTTTTGTAAATGATAGTGCATAATATTTCCAGCAACAAAAGGACTTGATGATTATCACAAAGAAATTAATTCAGATCAATACGAAAATTGGTTGAAAAATATTCTACCAAACTTAAAACCCAAATCAGGTCTTGTAATAAATAATACACCGTTCTACTGTGTGTGTACTAAAAAAAATCGTTAGCCGCTTCTAAAAAGTGCAAATTCAAGATTAGCTAAAATAAAAAAATATTTCTCATAAAGATACGATGTTAAAAACCAAATTAACAGATTGCCTAAAAGTCATTATTCCTCTACCTCTCAAGGTGACTCAGAGGCTAAAGGAGTTTTTCGTCTACCAGACGAAACAGATTTTATTAAATTGATTCAAACTGAATGGACCAAAGCCATTGAACACTTCATTCTTTTTTACACATATTGCCGACAATATTTTCATTTATATTTTTTTCGATTTAAATTCATAAACTTGGTAAGTGAAGTTATTTTGACATGATTGAAAATACTGTATGATTAATAAAATATACAGGCGATTTTTCGCTATGAAAAGTTAACTAACGCTAACTTGTATGAAAACATAACTTATTGAAGTTATTCTTGGAAAAATTAGTGGCAAATTGTATAAACACTACTACCACCAACGCCACACAGAAATGGCACCACCACTTTCGACAGTTTCCAAAGACAGATACCAGGGATATGTTTAAACTAGTGACTTTCCTAATAAGTATTCTAACATCAAACTGCTTTCCTGAACGTCTTTTTTCCCAGATTAATTTAAAATGGTCGGATGAGAGAAATAAATGCTCTGTAAAATGAATGATAGCAGAATTACTCAATTACTCATCTATCCTGAAAAGTTCTTCAGTTAAACCCTCACAGAATTATCTAAATAATAATTCTCTTATTGTAACTTGCAATATGTAAAACTCACTTCTCACACTATTGTTTAAAACGCCACATTTTTATAATGAATAAAACTTTGATACATCTTTTTTTATTCAGAAGACGAACAAAACTCAACTACCTAATGATATAGTAAATCTGATTTAAAGTATCATATTTTTATTAAAGTACAATTTCTATGACTATTTTTGCTATGTATTGTATTGTACTAAAATATAAATATTTCACTTTATGATTATATACGTTTTTTCACTGTGTCCTCCTTTTCGACAAACATTCATTTATTTACTTACACAACTATTATTACAGGCCTAAGCCCAATACAATAGTGTATATAATTCTATATTATACATATTCGTTAACATAACATATAACATACAATGTTGTTTTTGTGAATTCACACAGACTACACACAAACAAATCCGTTATTTCTGCTATTTTATTGAGAGTGGCCAGTGCATGTGTCATGGGCGCCTTGTTTAATAAATTAGTTCTGCCGCGGACAATAACATCATGTTTCAAATTCAACGCTGCTTGTGACAGTAACGATAATTTAATATTTAATGGTGCTTTCAGATTATGTCTGATGACGAAATCATAGAAAAAAATGCAGAACAAAGAAGATGGAACAGAAGAAAATCTAGACATGGAAGATAATGTAGCATTCAACTTCAATGGTAGGATTTTAATATTTTAATGTCGATGTCACTACTTTTTTAATTACATTTTTACTAAAGTCTACCAAATCACCTAATAATCTTTTTCTCCAATAAATAATACAGGACCATCTGATGATGAAGCACTTCATGCCTTGTAAACAGCTCTCAAGTGGTTAGAAAAACAAACAGAGCGATACTGTGAGTTTAATATAGATGAAATGAATTTATAAATGAAAAATTTGAAAAAAACAAATGAAACAGCAACATAGAAAGTGGCTTATGTCAAATGACAATCACCAAATTTTTAAACCAAATTGAACTTATTATTTATTTCAGGATTACCAAATTATTCCTGCACATATATTTCAATATAATATTTCATTAAATGTTATAGTAGTAGTATTTTAGTATTGTCTGTAATCTAAGATCCTTTATAAACATTCATTTTCATTAATGTGTTTTTTATAAACACAACATTATGTACTACATATATGCACGAAACCACTTTTCTTCATACATTTGATTACAGAATGCCTATTGACAACAACAGATTAACAAATTTCTACTTTACTTCATTAATAAAAAAT